ATACTTCACTTCATGCTCTTCTTGACTTCACTGTTTGTGTTGAGAAGTCTGATGTGATTCTGATAGGTTTTCCTTTATAAGTGATCTGTCTTTTGTCTCTAACAGCTTTTAATATTTATTCTTATGTTGGATTTCTGGGATGTGATTATTATATGTCTAGGTATAGTTTTATTTTGGCTATAGCTATTTGGAATTCTATATGTTTCACTAATCCTAATGTCAGTTTCCATTCTCATGTTTGAAAAATTTTCAGCTATGACTTCTGTAAATAGCCTCTTGATATGACTTGTGTTATCCCCTTCTTTTTCATTTATCCCTATCAATCTTATATTGTTTTCCTTTGCATCATCTTGCAGATGTTGAATTGTTATTTCCTGGTTTCTTGATATTGTTAAAAGATCTCTCCTTTCTGTTCACTAGCTGCAATCTTGGCTTCAAGGTCTGAAATTCTTATCATCACTTTTGTTGAGGGGGTTTTGACAACTTTCAATGGAATTTTTGATTTCCTGTATATGTCTTTGAATCTGCTTCATGTATTCTGTTTGTTTCTTGTATTGTTCATCACTAGGAATTCTATCTTTTTGTTTTGTTCCTCTAATTTTTTAACTGTGTCTTCTTTAGATATGTTCAGCATCTCTTTCATTACTTTTATCATTTCTTTTTTACCTGGGAGATTATTTCTAGTTTGAATTCCTTTAAAGCTTCGTGGACTTGCTTCTTTATTTCAGTTGCTATTATTTCAGGTATTTCAGGTGTATGGCATATATTTTCTTCTATGGACATGGCTTTTAGGCTTTCTTGGGATGGGCTGGAGGTTTGAGATCGCATTTTGGCCTTTTGTCTTGTCATTTTCCTATATTTCCGTGTTTCATGTGTCGTTTCAAGGCTTCCCCTGGGCATGTTGGAAATCATCTCCTATGCCCTGGGCTCCTGAGACTGAATGGAGGTTGCTGAGCATGATCCAGTCAGGCCCATAGGACCTCCCATGCAACCTCCAGTGTTCCAGGAAGGTGGGTGGGCACCTCACCACTGTGGATGATTGTTCAAAGTTCTCCCGGGCAAGGACCAAAGTGTTCAAATTCACTTGACATGCCCTCAACTCTCCTAATTGAAGAAGGTCACTGGGCGTAATCTTGTCTGGCCAAAAAACCTCCCAAGCCTAGTCTAGTGTGGCTAGAAGCTGGATGGGTCCTTGACCCCTAGGAGCGATGATCTTAAATTCTCCTGGGGCTTGGGAGACTGTAGCAGCCCAGTTCCCCGGATTGAAAGAAAGTCACTGGGCATGGCCCAGGCAGGTCTGAAACCTGTAGCAACCAGTCTAGTGTGGCTGGAAGCTGGGCAGGTCCTTGACCACTGGGAGCAATGATCTTAAACTCTCCCAGGGCTTGGGATGGTGTGCAGGAACTCATCTCCTCCAGCAGCCCAGTTCCCTGGATTGAAAGAAGGTCCACTTGTCATTATTTTTATAAGTAGATTGAAAGCCCACTCAGAAACTATTGGGAATTCTCCAGAAACCATAACAAAGCATTTAAGGAGCATTATTAGCCAACATTATAATGGGTCATGCTCCAGAAACAAATGTAAATATCAAAAGTTTGTTTAATACCATAGTAGAGTAAGCAACCTAAGACAGTATAGTCCCTAAAGTTTTTACGTAGATGGTAGATAGTGAACATTGACTTTCTATTTTTTTAAAATCCAAAAACACTTCAGTTCTAAGATTTATTTATTCTGTCAAGTACTAGTTATAGATTTAGCAATTTTTGATAAAATGTACTTTTCAGAGCTCTGGTATGTTGTATTTTGGTGTAGAGCAAACATGTCAAACTCAGTGAAGAATAACAATAAGCTTTGTTTTCTCACTCATGAGTGCATAGGTAGCATCTTCTTTGGAATAGTCGCTCTCTGAGGTACATTCTTCTTATGGCAAAAGGCAAGGAGAAAGTGAAGATACTAAGCACATGCAGGTACAATGTAAATATGTACTCACATTGGATTTAGTAATATCCAGGCAGCCAACCAAGTCACATAGCCACACCTAAAAGTTAAGGATAAACTTTTTGCCCACTGTATTAGCCTGATTTCCCATTGGTAGGGAAAATACCCAATACTCACAATTTAAAAGAAGCAAAATTTAATTTGGCTCAGAGATTCAAGGGATTCAGTCTATAGCCAATTGGTTCCATTATAAGAAACTATTAGCAGACGGGTATGATGGAGCAAAATTGGTCAGTTCATGGAGGATGGGAAAGAAAGTAGGGAAAAAGCATCAGGGAAGAAGGCACTAAGGACCACAGATATTGCCCATGGTCACATTCCATGACCTATCCAAACAAACCCAGGTATATGCTTTATTGATCTGATAGGCATTTCTTTATCCAGTCAGGTTGGCAATCACGATTAACAGATCACACCCATCATGAAGCCAAGACAAATATTCCATGTCTATGTATTCCTGGAATACTATGGAGTATCCAGGAATTGGGGGCCAGTAATTCTGTAAACTATTCCTGGAGTGCCACATCCTCTTTCTGGCCAGTTGAGGAATTATCCTTTTGTTTTGGCTGCAGTCTCTAGTGAATGATACACTCTTAGTACATTGTGGGCCAATAGAGGAAGACAAGGGCTTCCTCTTAAGGAAATATATACTTTTAATTATATGAGGAGGCAACTAAATTTTAGAGGAAAAAGGAGTCTTATAGAATCCTTTGTACAGTCCATTCCTCAAATGTAGCCCACAGAAGCAGGGACTGAAAATTATTACCAACTAATGCCTACTTAGAGGTCTAACAGAATTGAAGTATCCCTTCAATTCTCAAGATATACTTGCCCTTTCATAGAAACCATCAACATAATAGATTAGTCTGCTTTCAAATAATACGCTAGATCAAAAGCATAGGCTTCAAAAATACAAGTCTTTCTAGGAATAGTTCTGTTCAGTTATTGATAAACAATATTCAAACTACTATAAATTCCTGGGTTGAGTTTAGGAGACAGAGAATTGATAGCCAAGATAATTACCATGAAAGTGGATTAATATCCTTTGCATGAGGTCATTTAATAGAATACAGTCTTCAGAGGATGACCTTTCTTTCTAGGAAACACTCATCCACTGCCTTACTGGGAGTATAGGATTCTTTCTCAGTACCTTACTTTTCAGGGAGACCCAGCAATATCCAGAGACAACTATTTCCCTGGTTGACTGATTTTCTGCAAACCTCTTTGGAAGGTGGAATAGCCTGAACTCTGCAGTCTTTGAGTGGTGTCAAACTTGGCTCCACATCTGGGCAGCTATGTGACCTTGTTAAAAAGATGTTCAGTTCTGCTCTGCTCCTTGAATGCAGAGGGTTGAGTCCCCTGGCATTTCTGTTTTAGGCAAAGAGTTGTGAGACAATATGTTCTATGTAAATTCTTGGCCATACTATTTAATGCCCTGCAAGCTCTCCAAAATGCTCTCCTGTTACTGGAACAGTGACCAACAGTATTCAAGATGGTGACTGTTCCATCAGCCAGGGTCCCAGAATGACTACAATGAGCAGGGTGCCCATACTGACCTGGATAGATATGTAGCAAGAGACAGAAATAAACTTGGTTGAATTAAACTGTGGACACTTTGGGATCTGTTTGTTACCCCAATTTAACCCTAGTTCATATTCTTTGCTAAATCTTACTTTATCTGAAAACATGAGAATTGTGTCATCTATTTAATAAAAGTAATTGTGCAAATTAAGCAGAATAAGATTTACATTAAACTTTAAATGCACCTAGACCATAATAAGTTCTAACTATATTTTGTGATAATGGTATATCATGCTGGATTTTGTCTATAATGAGATATCTATTTCTGTTAAATGTTTTGCAGATCATGTGTCTTGGGGGGGAAAATCACTTATCCTCAAATTACAAGTGTGTTATGTTAAACTAGATGAGCTACAGCTTAAATTTCTAGCTTTAGGATTATGAGACTATTAAAGACTCACCCACAGAACCTTTCTTGGTATTTCAAAGATATTTCTGTGTGTTGGGGAAACAAAATATATGATCAAATCACATATTATCTTTTTTCCTTCTACAGTTCCCCTTTCCCAAACACAAAATCTAAGTCCTTGTTATAAGTGTTTCTGTATCCTATTCTGAAGATTTCTGTCTAGGAAATTACATCGAATTTATAATTTCTTAGCTAGCAATCTATTGCCAATGTCTCTTTTGATTGCACTGGGCTGCAGGCTGCAGTTTGTAGCCAAACATAGTCTTTCTCCAGATAGTGCTGCCTTCCTTCATTCAATTGGAGAGTACCCTGTCCCTGACCACCTGCATCCTGGCTTCAGATGACCATAGAATGCCACTTCTCATAACCACTGAGACCTGTTCTCTATGTCTTCATTTACAGTCTTTCTTTCCTCTTTGCCCTTCTCTTGTTTTCTCTTCTTCCTCTTCCTCTTATTCTTTCTCCTTTTTTCCTTCTTCTTCCTTCCCCATCTTCTCTTCTCCTTTCTCCTCCTCCTCCTCTTTGCTTCTCCTCTTTCCTTTTCTTCCTCATCCTTCTTTTTATTCTTCCTTCTCCTTCATTCCCCCTTTCCCCTTCTTTCCTCTTTCTCCTCCTCCTCCTCCTTTTTCTTCTTCTTTCCACATGACCAACTGACTCTTTCTCTAGTCTTAAATATGGCCCTGCCTGAACTTTATAACAGTTTGTATATGTTAACATTTTAGGTTAAAGCATAGAAAATTATCATTTTGAAGCATTAAAATATGGCAATTTTCTATGGCTAAAATTATATATAAATCTAATTTAGATAAGAAGAGGAATTTCATTGCATACATATTGAATTATTTGTTGCATCCCATCAAGAGTCCTAATGTGTCTCTCCTTCTTTACCGTACTGAATTGGGAAATTTTTCTTACAGGACATGCCTTATGCTCTATGATATCACCCTTTGTCACTTCCATACTTAGAACTTAGTAGGAGAAAATAATGCTTCTTTTCTTTAACACCTTTCAGATTGAAGACATCATTACAAAGATGCAAGATGACAAGACAGGGGGTGTGGCCATCAGAACAGTCAAGAGTTTTCTTTCCAAAATTCCGAGTGTTGTTACAGGTAAGATATTTCTTACAAAGGGTCAGCAGCAAACTATTGAAGGCTATTGCAGAATTCTGTAGCATAGATTGTGGCCTGGGGGATTATCTAAAAAAATCTGTAAATATTAAAAGTGAAACATTCAGTGTGTTTCTTGATTCCAGTCCCACGCTGGACTTGTTTCTAGGAAGAAGATTCCCCTTTGCCAGTCGTTAAGAATAGTGTGATCATGCCAGAATTTACGTGTGTGCAGTTTGAGACTGTAGGGAGTAAATAAGACCATTAATAAAGTGACACAGTAGCAACTCAGGTTGTGGAATAGAAATAAGCACAGAAATATTAAAGAAAATAAGTTTAGGTATTAAAGAAAGTTTTGCATTTTAAGAAACATTTAAATTCTACAAAATGCTTCTAAATCACTATATTTGGACTTCTGAAAAAGTAGTCTTAAAATATTGTCCCACATTTTTTCTGCGTTTTATATTTCCAAACATGTATCTTTTAAAATTTTCATTGTGAAATATAAAAATATGGGTATAGTTTCAATTATAATAAGATAATACATATGCCAACTACTTTGCCTTATAAATAATCTTAATACCTTACAGTCCCCTTGTATGCCTAGTGGACTGAGTCTCCCTCCCTGCCCCATTGTCTATTTTTGTGTTAATAAATTCATTATTTTTCTTCACAGTTTTAGTACATAGATATCTTTCCATTGCTATTCAAACAAATAAATCAATTAAAGTAAAATTTTAAATTATTCTTTCATTCTTAAAGTTTGTCTACTTAGTTTCTAAAATTAAGGATACAACAAGAGTTACTTTCTACTCTCCTCCTTTTAGAATAGCTAAAATAAAAAGATTGACATAAGTGGCACTGATTATATGGAGTAACTAGAATCCTCATGTATTATTCATGGGAGTGCAAAATGGAGCAGCTAATTTGGAAAAAGTTTAACAGTTTCTTCAAGAGCTAAACATGTGCTTAGCATATGACCAATCAATCCCTTTACTTAAGACAGATGGAAAATTGTGTTCACACACTCAGTCACTTCCAAATGTTTGTAGAAACTTTATCCATAATCTCTACAGGCTGGAAATAAGTCAGGTGTTCTTCGCTAGGTAAATGGATGAACACACTCCATTCTATCCATACTTGGCAGTTAAAAAGAAAGTAAGCTACTGGTATATCAGCAACTTTGATTATTCTTAATTTTCCTGGGTGATAGAAATGAGTCCTAAAAGATCATAGTATCTGATTCCATTTACATGACATCAAAACAAAAAAACACACAACAACATAAGCAAAAACAAATCTATTTCCCTAGTGGTAGAAACAAATCAGTGGTTACCACACATTGGCAATTAGGAGGAAAGAGTTTGATAACAAGAGATAGCAATAGTTTTATGATTAGTTTTATGAGGTGATAGGACTGTTCTGTATCTTGACTATGGTGATAACATGCATCTATATAGGTCATACTTATAAAACTGTGTAAGCACACCTACAGGGTAAATTTATAAATTGACTAGATGTCAAGTTAAAAGTAAATAGACTCAGTTAAAGTATCTATGAGTATCCCAATTCTTTATCCATATCATCACTGAACTCAGATATTATTTTAGTCAGATTAGGCTGCTATAACAAGCACCACAGATTGAGAAACTTAGAAACAACAGAAATCTATTTTTCATGATTCTGGGGACTAAAAGTCCAAGATCAGGATGCCAATAGGGACAGATTCTGGTAAAACCTCTTTACAGTTGAAGACAAGAGACTTCTAATTGTATCCTTATATGGTAAAAGAGTACTGGATAACCTTTTAAATCAGAGAGCACTAATTCTATTCATGAGGGCTTCATGCTCATAAGTTACAACCCAAAGGCCCCACTCCTTTGTATCATCATGTTGGGGACTAGATTTCAATATATAAATTTAAGAGAGATACAAATATTCAGTCCATAACAAGAAAAATAGTTGATTAATGTTCTCTGATTTTGAAATATATCTAAACAGAATTATACTACATAAAAGCTATATTATTTTTAATAGATGTCTGAATTTTGTTCAATAATGTGTTTATAATTTTATACCTATTTTCATGGACTAGATCATTCTAGGTTTTTTGTTTGTTTGTTTTTTCCTTACCTTTGGTGCTAGTGTGGGTATCAAATTTATGCCAACCTTGTAAGATAAGCCACATTGCTATTGTGTTGGTCTTTGAAAAGTAATTGACTATCCAATTGTGTTTAATTTCAATTATTTTTTATTTCTAAAGTGTTGTCTGGTACTCATTGCAATATGTTTAGCTACTTGTTTATTTTTTATTAGATATTCATAGAGTGTTTACTCTTTTCTAAGCATTTCTAGGCCATTGGGATTCAGAAGTAAATGAAACAAACATTGCCAGTCTCATAGAAATATGGTTAAAGAAACAATAAACAAGATAAAGAACTAAAGATAGAAAAATTGGTAGAGTTTTAGATAGTTACAAAGACAAAAGAGAACAATCAAATATAAATTGACTATATGTCAAGTTAAAAAGTAAAAAGGAAACATGAAATGTTCACGTGTTGTAATTTTGGGGAAACTGGTCAAGGAAGAACTCTCTAAGAGGGTGACATTCAAACAAAGGTAGAAAAGAGAATAGGGATTGAATCCTGTGGATAATGAAGGAAAGACCATTCCAGACAGCCACTGCTATGTCCCCAGGGTAGGGAGCTCCCAGTATACTGAGGAACTGTGACACAGGAGCCAGAAGGGAGCCAGAGTGGTTAAAACAGAGTAAGGAAATCAAGGACGGCACAGATGAAGTCAGAGTGATAATAGTGAACTAGGTCATGTAACTTTTTAGTCATTATAAGGTAACATGTATGTGGAGTGACATGGTCTGACTTCCATTTCAAGGAGATCACTGTTGTGTTCAGAAGACTTGGGATGGGAGGGGTCATAAGGGCCAGATCATGGTAAAAAATTGAGGATGTGTGAAGTAGTAAGATTCAAATTCAAGTATAAGGGAGAACAGACAGAATTTGAAAACAGGTAAGATACAGAGTGTGAGAAAGAAAATCAGTGATTATTATACACATTTTGGCTTGAGCAAATCAAGAATGAAGTTATTAATTTCAATGGGGAAGACTGAAGGATGAGGATTTTTTTTTCTTTGTATGGTTAAACCGGAAATCAGAAGATCAAGTTTTAGAGACACCTTAGACATTCAACTGGAAATGACAAGTTGGCATTTGGATATGAAGATCTAGATATGGCAGGGGATTGGACTGGCACCAGGGTTCATACCCAGGATCTTCATGCTGAGTTACATCTCCAGCCTTTTATTTCTTTTAAAAATTATAAGACAAGGTCTCTCTAAACCAGTAATTTTCCCACTCTATCTTTAACTTGCCAACTTATCTCAGCCTTCCAGAACAGTAAGATTATAGACATATACTACCATGTCTGGCTTGAAGAACTTGATTATAGTAAAACAGTGAGCTGAGGGAACAAGTCTTCCACACATAAATGATACAGAGGACTATGGGACTAATAAACTCACAGAGGCAGTTAGTATAGATGGAAAAAACATAGTCTAAGTCCTAAAACTTGGGATATCCAATAAAGAGATCCAGAAGATAAGGAGAAAACAGCAAAAGAAACTGAGAAGAAATTGCTAGAGAAAAGAAACAAAATTAGGATGAGACTTTTTGAAAGCTGAATTCTACCCCTTCTAGAAAGGGCTTCAAAGAAAAGGAGTGATCAAAGTTGAATACTGCTATAATTAAGAATGCAGAGGGTTTATAGTTGACCACTGAAGTTGGCAACATTGAATTCATTGCCAACTTTGGTAAGTGCACATTCTATAAAATACTGGCGATGAAAAGCCTATTGGGATGGCTTCAAATCAGAATGAGAGAAAAGCAATTTGAGGAAGTGAGTATATCTCTGAAGGTTTTGTTTCCTATAAAAAGAAGAAATGCTGAGGTAGTTAGGGGGAAACATTAGGTCAGCACATCTAAGTTTTCTAAAAGTACAATTACAGTATATTTTATGATGATACCAAATGACTCTAGGTGGGGAACATGGTACTGGATAAAGAAAATTCAAAGATCGAGGTCAATGAGTAGGTAAAAAAGATTGAATATGAGGTAAATGAGTGGCCTTAGCTGGAAATATGTGCAATTTATTCATAAAAGAGAAAGGGAAGCAAGGATGAGAGTAGGTAGGAGTGGGTAGAATTTCTTTCCTCGTTGCCTCTGCTTTCTTAGTAATATGGAAAGCAAAGACAGTGGAGATGTTCAAGTTTCCATGTGATTACAAACCACAAAATAATCAACTAGGAAAATAAAGAGACCAGAGAAGGAAAATGAAGCTTTGATTACCAGGTAACATTAAGGTCCCTCTTAGGATTACGTACAAGTTTAAAGAGACAAGTCTTTCCCAGTCACATTTAACTCTGAATTCACATATGTCAGGTAGGAATTGGACACAATGCTACAGCAGTTATAAGAGTATGACGAATCAAGAGGCAGGCAAGGTAGCAACTAAAATAACTGACCACTAATTATAACAGAGCAAAGTAAGAATATGAGATGAAGTGAGGAAGGATGAAGAGGAATGAATAATTTGTAACTCCAGTGGCAGAAGAATTTGAAAATTCAAGGCAAGAATAATAGAGCAAATAGTGGTTGGATAATAGATGTTTGAAATGGAGACTATGGAGTGGTTAGAGTTATTGGTGATAACATGATCTAAAACCATCTAAAGTCTGACTGATAAAGAGTAGAGGGCAAGCTCATTGGAAGAGAAGATGCCAAGAACCAGGAGGTCATGACATTGGAAGACTGATCCACAGGCATATTGAAATCACTACTGGAGGGGCATTAGAGAAGGTGGTTGTTAATCTGTGGGACAACCTTTATGGAATGAGAAGTGGACTTCTAAAGAGATCAGGAAGAGGAGGAAAAAACTTTGAATCTCCACTAAATAGATTCAGCTTTCTCACTGTCTGATGGTCTCATGAT